TCTATATAGTACTCAATCACTTTTTTCTTTTTTAATCTTTCATATACTTCTAATAAATCTTCTCTTAAATACTTCTCTTTTATTAAATTTTGAATAATTGCAGATTTAAGACTATTTACTATAATTTCTATACTTGATTTTTGTATAATAAATATAATGAACATAATTAGAAGTACCCCCATGTACTTCATGCCTTTCTTGTTTTTATCTAATAAATTGCAAGATAAGATATAATATATATAAATCTTTTTAATTAAAAAATTCTTGTTAAAATTTTAGTAAAAACTATGCAAAACTTAAATAAAGTAGTAGCTTTAATCCTTATTCTAAAAATAAAAAAAATATTTTTTATAATAATATTTTTTTTATTATTAAATTTGTTCACAAAAAATTAATTCTGCTTAAATAATTTTGAAAGTATTATTAAATAAGTTTTATAAGATTATAGTAATATATTAATTAGTATATAGTTTATTTTTATTTTAGATTAAATAATATAGAATATGTTTTAATAATAAAATTTGAAGTAATTGTATAAAAATAGAGTTAAAAATTTAGTAAGCAAATTTACTTACTAGATAGTTTAAAAAATTTATACTTAAATCTAAATAAGTTATAGTTTATATTTTTTATTATTATAGAATAAGGCTTTGTTTTAGATTTTATTGAGTTTTATAATATAAGAACAATAGAGTTGTGTTATATTAAATAACTACTATTATTTAAACTAGAGCTACTTGGTATATATTATCTACTTATCAGATAGATATTGTTTTTGATAGGCTTATCAGATATTAGATATTTCTATCATAAAATATCAGATATCTGATATTTTATGATAGAAGTATCTGATATTTAATAGGCTTATCAAAAGCAATATTTATCTAATAAGTAGATGATATGTGCTAAGTATCTAGTAGCTATTAGCTAAAAAAATATCTGATCTTCTACTAATAGCTTACTGAAATCTTGTTGAAATTTCAAATTTAGACCTGTATCAGTTATATGTTCAAATTAGAAAATAGTAGTAATAAGATTAGATTTTATATTTATATAAATTTAGAATCTGTAAGTTCAGAATCTACTAAAGTAGAAATTAGATCTTAAAATAACTTATATAGTAATAGAATTTAATAATTACTCAAATTATTTGATTAATTAATAATTATATATATTTAAAATAGGGAATATATTCATAGCACTATAGTGTTGTAGCACTGACAAATCAGAATTTAAGATCAGGTGTAATCTAAAAATTAAAAAATTGTAGTTTTTTTTGAAAATTCACTTATAACTCAAAATCCTAACTAAGAAACCACTTTTGGTGTTCTAACAAAAAAAATTCTTCACAAAATTTTAGTATATACTATGCCTAACCCTAACCTTAATACGAGCTCTAGCTCTAACTCTAAAGTTAATAAATTTATTTTGTTTTATTTGTTTATTTTGGTTTGTTTTGCTTCAACATTATACAAAAATTACATCTGATCCGAAATTCTGATTAGTTGGTGCCACAGCACTATAGAGCCACAAAAGTATTTCCTTACAGAATTATAAAATTATGATATTACAATATTATAATATTATAGACTCTATAATTATAGCAAAAAATATAGTATGTGATATAATTTAATAATTAAAATTAATTCTACTAATATCTATATATATAATAGTAGTTTAAAAACTAGAATTTTTACAATCTATTTAACTATAAGTTTTATATTAAATATATCTTAATTAATTAATAAAATTTATTCACTAAGTGTATCTTTAACAAAAAATTGTTTTTAATTGCTTTTCTCAAAAGTTTTAAGATAAGATATTTAGTATTAATAAAGTTTATTGAGTATTTACTATAGAATTTAGTATATTTCTATATAAAAATCAACATTGTTAACTATTTTTAAATTAGAATATATCTGTTGATACACAATTTTGTATATAAAAACAATAACACATAAAATTGCTAAATATATAAGACAACCTGTTTAGATCTAATCATATAATAAGTATAAACAACAAGATACATATTTTTACTGTTATGCAATATAATATTTTTATCAACTGAGAAGAGATTTTTTTTCTTAAATTAAATTTTTTCCTTATATTTTTTCTTTTACTTTTATTTTTTTCTTTTCAAATTAGTTTTTTTATATTTGTAGCAGATTTTTCTAATTTAAAATATATTATAGATTGTAGCTATTTAGATTTATAGAATTTTTATTTTTCTTTACAATAGTTAGATTACATTCTATCTTTCTTTTTAGATTTATCTAAAATTAAGAATAGAGTAATTTAACTATAGTAGTCTTAAGTGTCCAGCGATCTAGTGTAGTAGATAGGTTGTCAGACTGTTATGCAATAGGTTTGGAGTTCAAATCCTTCTGTTGACACTTTGAATAATTACTCAAACCTTGTATCTAACTTACAGTA